TATAAGAATTAATAAAATCAGTTTCAAAGCTTTCAAAGTTATATGGATACGGCTCGTCTCGCTACCGTGCAGATTTGCTCGTCATAAAGAGATCATCAATATACATGGGGAGATTCGTCTTGCAATGCGTTCGAAAGTAAAACACATCATTGATCATCACGTCATCATAAAACGGTAATCATTTAAACTTGCAAATTGCGTTTTAAGCCACTTACTTATGTTGGATGTTGAAATACGTTTTTAACACGATAATTGTTGTTGAAAGAAAGCCTTGCATTGTTAATATTTCTCCTCGTCTATCATCGTTAAGTTTGGAGCTTTTGAAAAATAGTTATATTTGACGAATATTCACTGTTTTGTAGATAAACTCATTGCGTTTACATTTGACATTTGGGACCCGTTGTCTGCCGCTTTTGAATATTTTATAGAAAAGGCGCAATACAAATAATAAATGTTATTGTTATTCGAAGGAGGAATAAGGACGAACACCCAAGATCAGCTTACTCCTCTACTCCTGAATAGTATGCACGGCAGTGATAGGACTAAGCGAAAATTTCGAGAAACCTCTCCAGTCTAGGCGGCCAGTTCTCATTCATTGGTTACAAATGCTCCGAGTAATGGGCGGAACCAACCAACAAGAAATAAAATAAATTGATATCAGACCAAAAAAATGACTTTACCTGCATCAACGGTCTTTCTTGCGATTCTTGCTCCTTTAAGAAGTCATCACTGTTCATTCTCATATCCTTATAGTCCTTGTTATCAAAACAAGCCATTTGTCTCTCGCCTTGGTCCCAGTGCCCCGTGTCTTTGTGAATGGGAACAACATCCGGGATCTTGGTTTGGCGGTAGACAATGTTGGGATCGTAGTAAGCGTAAGGCACAGGAAAGAACACCTACAGGAGTCAAGACACAGAAAAAGAGTTCGATAAGAAACGTATCTAACAGTTCAAACACTACAAAACGCTAATTTGTTTGAGTGTCAATGTATTTAGCATGAAAGTACTAATTGGGGACCCTATATTGTTACATCTCCTACTGGAGACAGGACCGCCATTTTACGTGGTCATCAGAGCCACGCGAAGAACTCCGAGCCGTTTGCAGGGTAAAGCGAGTATCTTCATTTCTCAGTTATTTTAACACCCCGAGTATTGATCATGCACCTTGAATTGAACACGCGACCTCCCGCTCCGCATTCAAGCGCTCTACCGACTGAGCTAATCCTGCCGCAGTAACATGAGATCTACTAACAAGAGACCTAAATCGAGCTCAAAGGTATTCATGGCACACTCAGGTAAACTTATTCAACCTTAGCATTGTTTTAACAACACCCGTTCCAATTCCAAACACCCCGGTCGCGTCGAAGAAGGAAACGTTTTCATCCAAACTCTTCAGTCTCTGTCGATGTGACAGTGGTAATAAAACTTTTAATTGCTCGCTCTAAAAATTGAATAGCTCACTTTTCTAGACTCATCCTGGATAACAAAGAAATGCAATTTTTCATTATCGCGATTAATAAGCTCTAATTTTTGAGACTAGCAATTTAAAACTTTTAATATACATGTACAGCCCTAGTCTGCAACTCCCGCTCTTTATATTTTATAACTAGGGAGAGGGCAGCTCAGTAATCTCAAAACTTCGTGTACCCTAAATATTTCCGAAGTTAACCAACACCAAGGCTTTTTGCTTTATTTATTAAACTTGTCTTTATTAGAGAGCTTTAGGTTATGCTCGAAAAATAGTCAATCCAGAAAGTTTCATTCTACTATTTTTCACCTCAAAAATTGGGGCGGTTATTTTTATTGGAGAAGGTTTAGCCCTTTCCCGGTCGCAAAATAATTAAACTTCTAAAATTTGATAACTTGTTCCCGCTACTAAGCCATTCTCACTAATACTCGTAGTAGAATGACGACGGCTATCACGTTTTCCCACCAAAATGACGTTGGTTCACGCGTGAGCACTACTTAGTACTGAGAACATTTCGTAGTCGTAGTCGTCCTTGTCTCAGGATCTAAAGCTCTCTATTCTTATTGTAACTGAGTTTTCTGTTCCTTACCTGCTCTCCGCTGAGTGCATTCACGCGACATCGGTTAAGAAAATTGACGTTGAACTCCACGCCGAGAGAAGTTAGAAAGATAAGGGCGTTGGCCGGAAGCTTCATGGTCACTATATCCATCAGTAGTGTAAGTGAGTGCTGTTTCACTCCAATCTGTATCCATGGTAACTGAGCCCACGTGTACTTCTGTTTGTACCTGGTTACAAAGCACATTAAAACGAATGTATAAGTACTCTAAAGGAAAGGACGTATTTTATTTGACTTGGACACTTCCGCTCCGTATAAAAAGGCTGGTTTCCATTTGAGCGACGATTTTAAATGGTCGCTAACACCACAGCCACAACATCTTTCATTCATTGATCGAAATATTTGGGGACGCGGCCTGAATTGCGCATGAACAGATGATTGTCCTGGATACAAGGGTCACCCTCCCAGCCAAGTCATCTTGAGCGCGTGTTCATATGGGAAAAAGGTTGACCCATTCGCCCGTGACAAGACTGATAGAGCGGTTTTCATTTGAGTGTCGAAAAGTAATTGGTTTTGCACTTTCTACACGATGCGATTGGCTTAAAAGATTCGCGCCACCTTTTCATCCAATCAGAAGTAAAACCAAAGCCAATTGTGACGCGCTCGCATGCATTTTCCCGCGCTTTGCGTCAGCCACATGTAATTACTTCGAGTTTTGATTGGTTCAATGTATTGTCTGTGTCCTATGTGATTGGCCAGAGTAATTACTTTGGTTTTGGTTTTACGACACTCAAACGAAAACCACTCTAACAGCCCGTGCGCATGCTCTGATTGTCTCGCCTTGACCAAAGTGTTTATACAGAGAAAAGTCGGCCTGGCTTGGAGGGTGACCCTATCATAACAGAATGGTGACGTAGAATGTAAGTAGCTCGTGTAAACGGTTCCCACGCTTTTCAGGAAAAGTATAAAAATTGGCTTATTCAGGGTAGCTCGGGTGGGCAGGTGACCTTCTACCATAACAACTTTTCTATATACAAATGGAGCCTAAAAAGGTAAAACAACTTTTCTGTACTGCACATGAGCAAACTATAGACCGTATGCAGTTGGAGATGGCGCAACGATCTCGAGAACGATCAAAAATTTGGAAAAACTTCTTCAAGTGATTTGACTTACCGCGCAATAAGAGCTTTCCCTTCAGCAAATATTTCTCCATTATTCTCGTCGGAACCTTCTCGAACATTAACAAACACCGTTAGCAAAACCACGTTCTCGCCAGTTTGCAGACAGATTTTTTGATACATCTGAAGAAATTCCTCGAGTTGCTTGGTTTGGTTTTTCTTGACTGGAAGAACAAGATGAATTCCACGCTGCTCTATTGCAGTCGGCATTTGAATGCTTTCTACTTTGGTGTATGGCCTCAAAAGATGAACACGTCTGAAACAAACAGTAATCAAATAAATTACTTGGTCGCAAGTGACGTTACGGCGGCCGTGTTGATGGACAAGAACAAAAGCATTTCTTTCCGCGGGGAACTAACCTCCATTTACATGTATATTCTACAAAAAAGTGTTTATTATAATGTATTGACTACCAACAGGAGCCTGTAACCCGAAGCGAGCAACTCCGTTGAACCCATACAACGGCGTTTCCTCAGACCAGTTTACTTCTAGATCGATTTCCTAGCCAATTTTGAATTTCGAATTAGTCCTACAAGTCCGTCATCAAAAACCGGAGACTTGAAAATAGTATTTCTGATGTTTTGATACCATTTACTTCATCTTTTTGTAATAATCGTACAAGACACGCACGCATGATGATGTAAAAATAACTTGATCTGTGGAAACGCCATTGCATAGGCTAATTATGGGAGTTGCACGCTCCCAATTATGGGCTCCTGCCACAAACATGGCCGCCTTGTCACCGTGTTGCAAATCTATAATACAGACAAACCTAGTTAATACTAACAGCGTAATGGGTTTCCAACGCAGCAGTTCTTTTTGCCGTCACACAACACTGAGAGCGTTGCTTGATGACCCAAAACTAGAACGGCTGCTTAAGATGTCCATATTGCAGAGGTGGAGATTGTGGTATGCCATCTGTAGGACCTAGAGAAGTGCCCTTAACCCTCTAAGTGCTAATAGTGACCAACAACAATTTTCTCCTAACAGAAGCCATACATTGTCAAGAGATAAAATTATGAGAATTAATAAAATGATCCCAAATAGAAAATGCCATGATCTTCTACCAAATTCTCTCAACTAATTCTTGAAGGAAATGTATGGAGATCAGTTTGGAGAATTTGTATGTGGATATTGGGGCTTAAAGGGTTAATAGACAGGTGTCAGTATCATAGAGGGAGGAATTGTATGAAGCTAGGTTATTGGTAATTAACGTGGCCGTGCAGTGGTTTTATGTGACAGACACCGTTAGATTCGAGGACGACGGTTTTTTGTAACAAAAAAAGATACCCCTAGAAGCTTCATTTTCCTTTTTTCACCAGGAAAGCTCAGACAGGTATTTTTACTGAGGAGTTTAAGCCCTCCCCCGATTGCAAAATGATGGATTTTCAACGATTTGTTAACTTGTTCCGGCACTACGACATTCAGCCTTAAAACCCGCCGCAGTAGAATGAAGGCTATTACGTTTTCCCGCCAAAATGACGCCTCTTCACGCGCGCGTACTACTTAGTATTGAAAAAATCTCGTTCTCGCAGTCGTCCTTGTCTTATATAGAATAGGGAGCTTTAGCATCAATGACGCGGCGAGGGCAGTGAAAAGGTCGCGCAAAAAGTGAATTCGCGCTGCTTCAAACTTTTTCGCTCTTATTCCATCGTTCAATTTGTGAAAATTAACGTTGGCCAATTTTTCTAGAGTTGAATTCTAAATGACTGTATCTGGCTTCAGAAAAAGGACAATTAAATCGTTGTCTCGTGTTCACGTACTTCATAAAACGTAAACTTAGGACGTTTCACGGCAAAGAAATGTACGCCGAAAAGAAAAAAGAAAAAGCGTGATGCGCGTAAAAAGTTGTTGCTTTGCTAATCTAACCTTACTGTTTTTTTTTTTTGGCCGTTCTCGTTGCTGTCAACGACGTCGTTGCTAAAGCTCTCTTTTCCTTAACGATAGTTATATTTCAACTTCAATTCTAGGAAGTGGTAAGGTAAGCAACATAGAGAACTAGAAATAATACCTGATAATTTCCTGCTTACTGCCCGGAGATGCTTTAATTCCGATATCTAAGATATACTCCGCTCCTCGCCTGGGGTCTACTCGTCTGTAGCCATTGATCAAGCGGAACTCTTTATCCTGGTTACTGTATTCTCGTGATAGCATTTTTATCGCTGTTTCTTTGACATCTTCAACATCTTTTTTGTAGTCCCCTCGCAAAGCCACCTGATCATGAAAAAAAAAACGTGTTTTACGATCATCAAGAATCTGGATAATGCTTCTGATTGGTTGAAAATTTGCTTCATCCAGTTAGAAGCACTACCCACACGTCACACGTCATCAGTATGGAATTTCTGCGCTCGTTCAGTTTCTCAGACGTCACGTCGCGTGGAAACCAGTGTTGGCGTCGTGAGATGTTGGCTGTTTTCTCATGTTACCCATGATACTCCAATAATTGAATAATTGCAAGGGGCTAAATAAACGTAATAAAATTTGAATAAACGCACATTCAATTTTTTTAGTGACGTTTCAACTGCCGCAGGCGTTGTGGCTGCTTAAGCTCCCGAATGACTCAAGAAGACAACGTTTGACAAGGTTTTGGTTCATTGCGTTGGGAAAAGACCGTGTTCCATAATTTCGTACAGTCGATTAGAATTCTGGGCACGAGATTATGTGTTTCACACGCGTTGACTGCCTTAATAACAAGGAAATCGATCAGATGACCCCCAAATCAAATTCTTACCTTAGGATTGGTCTCTGTGAAGCCGTAACTTGAAGTAGCAGTGAAGTACTCCCACTGTAAGACCTCAAACCGAGACGTAGGCTTGAATGGCTGCCGAAATCCTATTGGCCACGATGGTCGTTTCTCGGGGACCCCTGAGAAAAAAAGGAATGCTCAATCAGTGGACCAGCATGACTCCGCGAGGGGGGTTGAGTGGAGTAGTCAACAAAGTCATTTAAACGGCGGCCCACTTAGGCTTTTGTACATTATGCTTTTACTTTCCCTACTAAAATGCTCCACCTTAATGCTCCATTTTTCCAACTAAAATGCTCGGTCTCCCCAAAAAAGTCACTAAAATGCTCGGACAATGCTCATTATACAAACGGTTTTTTGTTAATTAATTTCAAAGTTTATACTTAAAAAAACGTGCAAGTGTTGCAAGTAACAACGACAACGTGTACAAGTTCATAAATACAGCAAAAAAAACAGCTATATTAGGTTTTTTGTAAATTTTGAGTTTTAGTCTTCGTTTTGCTTAAGAAAACAGGAGCTCATGGGGCATGGGTTCCTGAAAAAAGTTAATTTCTATTTTATTTTCTCGGAAAAATTAATGTTCCGGGGAAAATGCCACTAAAATGCTCGAATAATGCTCAATGCTTTTGCCTTACTAAAATGCTCGAAAAAATGCTAGCATCAGATGTACAAAAGCCTAGGCTCACTCCAAGCCGTCCAAACCCCAACCCTCTCGTACAGTTTTGAAGGAAAAGGTACTCTTTAGTACACCTTTCCTGGAAAAATTGTCTTCCTTCCAAAAACCAACTTCCCTTCTTTTTCCAAACCCTTGGAATGAAGAAATCGCCAAAAAAACCTTCTTGTCTTTTTCATGTAGCGTTTAATTAATTGAAGGTGTTTCTGTTCGCAATAGTTTAAAGTTTACTGACCTTTCATATGCTTCAACTCGTAAAATCCCAAACCCTACCCTTCTATATAGCTGAAGCCTGATAAAGCTGCACTTTCCCTGAGAGGCAGTGTATAGGGAATTGTTACTCCCCCCGGATCATGACACAAACTACAGGCTATCACCTGACGACGGGTCACTTCGGGGGTTATTGTATTGTATCACGGATAAGCAATGAGTGGGAAAAAACTTTCGAGACATTTAGAATGACGTTCCACTGTGTTTCCTTTCATGAGCAAATTCAGGGATATTATATTGAGGTGCAGGAGCTAAATTTTCGGGAAACATGCCCGAGACAACCGACAAAGAAACCCCTAGGACGTTTGTTTCCTATAGCGAAATTCTACTATCACAATTTGTGTAAAAGTATAGGATGTTTTCAAAAATGGTCGTTATATTTATACGTCTGTTGCACGAGTAAATCAAGTCAATCTCGGTTTTGTCAGCAACCGTTTAAGGCAATTTTCTGTTCTAATTGTACCATTGCGGTATACGATTACGCTATATAATCGGGACGAAAAATTAACACATTACGAGCGGTAGTGTGGCCTGACGAAATCCAAGATGAAGGCGCCGGTTTTTTTTCATTTTTTAAAGAGAAGACACATGCCTTCTTGAGCACAATATTTGCGTCGCTTATTAGTGTCAGATTAACCGCTCCCTCGAATATCACAAATTTACCAAGAAAGCGTAGCCAAAACTTCAGTTTTAACCTTCGTGTTTATCTTTATTCTAAACAGTTTGCTCGGCTGTCAATGAACAAAAATTCAACAAAACTCCACGTCTTCCAGCTTCGGATAGAACAAAAAAGCCACGCCTTCGTTAAAGTTGTCTTGCTTTGATCACTTTTCAAATCTGGCGTTTTATCTTCATCTCAATCACAACACGCTACTCTTTCAAGCGAGTTAAAGAATCTTATCTTGGTCTACACGCAAAGTAAGTGGTCGCCCGTTTTAACAAGAGTTGCTTGCCAAGTAGTTTTGTAATTGCTTGTTTAGGTTTTTTTTGCCTTAGTTTGGCCTCTTTTTGTCAAACAGCTTAATTATGAAGTACTAATTCTTCCATTCCCTCTATTATATAATGGAGTAATGAACATTTATTTATTTAGTTTCGCCTAACTAGAAAACAACACTCATATACAAAAAAATATTAAGCAGGGAGACTACTTCAGCCTAGCCAATTACAGAGGATCCAAGGTTAAAAATACAAATAAAAATGAAATATATAACTAATGACTAAGGCCACTAATAAACAGGAAAAAAAAGACAAAGACGGAAGTTCAAATTGCTAAGAACGACGACAGGCGCAGGAGAGTCCTCGCTATATTGCTCCTGGGGCAGATTGTTCTCCTGGTTCTGATTTCGTTAGCGTTGTACAGAGGCCTAAACGTTTAAAAGAAGCTAGAGAAATGTGATTTGTGCGTAACTCAGGGCAGAACATTCCATGTGCGGCACGCGGGATGAAAAATGAGCGTTGATAAGTAACAGTTCTACTTGGTTTTAGGGATATATAGCATTGCGACTCGATGACCTAGTAAATCTCGTTAATTGTCTAGTAAGAGGCAGAGCTTCACCATCTACAAAAACTAGGTTATTTACAGCTTTATAGAAAAACAATATATCCAAAAATTCTTGCCAGTATAAGATGGGCAAAAGATTTGTCAGTTAGTTGGAGGCGGGACTTATAGGTTGCATTCCAACGGAAGGCAAGCTTTAAAATTGGTTTTGTTGCACGGCGCTGCACGTTCTCAACACGCTTTAGTAAGCCAATTGACTTTGGTGACCATACTTCGGTTACGTAGCAGAGGCGGCACCGGACGATAGAAAGATACAGTGTACGACGCGTTTGGGTGCTTTGGATGTCCTGAGAAGCTCTCACTATCTAGCAAAACCCGCTGCATCATTTAGCCAACTTAAAGTCCTTGACATATAAGGCTTTAATTCTCTTTCTGTTGCTACATTTATGTATTCGTATCACCATAATCTTCTGCCTAGTAGCTTTCGCAACCTCTTTCTAAGTAGTAGTCAGGTTTACCATTATGAAACTCGACCAGCCATATTTGTAGAACTAATATAAAACAGTTCAGTATCCTTTATGGAGAACCAACAATCTGGAATTTGTTGCCTATTTCACTAACCAGCTCTTCTTTCAAATTTGTTTTTTTTAAATCTGAAAAATTATCCCATTGATAGTTGCTCTGTCCCTAAAGTTTTATGTTTTCTGTACAGTCTGCAATCAAATAAGCCTTTGCAATCTAGCTTAAGGAGGCCTATTAATATAAGCTCCCAGTTTCTTTAGGGTTCCTTGTCACATTAACTTACATTTCAATCAACAACTTTTGTAACATTTTAATGTTATGTTATGTGAGTGACTAAATAACAAAGAAAATAAAATAACTAAAGGGGATA